TTCTGGAACTTGTGGAAGGAGTGGAGAAGCAGGGCGGAGGTGATTGACTGCCTGGAGGTGGCTGGGAGGTGATTGGATGTTGTACTTTTGAGCTACATGTGAACAGTGATCGATTCAGTAAATATCCAGGTGGAAAATCCGCAAGTTATACACGTCAGAATTCATGTTTGCAAAGCTAATAATTAATGCAAAACCAACACAACTCTGTAAGAGAAGGACACTAAGGAGTAAGAGACCGTGTCATTGCAGAACAACCTCAAGTTGCTGAAACTACAGAGAGGAAGAAGCCTGTGGACCACACCACGTCGCTCACTCTTCTGCTGGCTTTAGGACACATACAACCAGGACCCTACAGATGTTCCCGAGATGTATCCCTCCCAAATTCTGGTTGGAAAAAAATCAGCAGGAGAAGGAAGCACATGTGGCAAACTGCAGTGCCCCCCACCCCCAAGCCCATGAGCTCCTTTCCTCACCAGCTTTCTCCTTCGCTTCTCATGAGTACAGCCACAGCTGCAACGTGTGGCCCGGTCTATGACGAGCTCCAAAGCCGAGCTGAAGATGTACCATTGTGTCATGAAAGCCCCGAGTCACTGACTACCTGCCAATGCTGGATCATCTTCACACTGTAGCCACCACTGAGTGCATGAATTTCATAAAGCTGTTATTACACAGTTTACAGTGCTGTCATTTGCCGGAATCTCCATTTTCACTGGATTTTATCCATTGATCTTTCCACTGCACACTATGCTTGATACCCCATCCAGTCCAACTTGGGCTGACTCACCACGGTGCATTGGTACTGAGATTTGGGGTAGCGTGTAGGGCAGGGTTCTTCAACTCTGGACCTCGATTCCAAATCCAAAAAATGTTTTCAGTTCTCCCAGGCAGTTGTTTAATAATTACTGATTCTGATTGGTCAGAGGCTTCACACCTGACTGACAGGTAAAGGAAGGCTGGAAAACCAGCAGTGCTCGGACCTCGAGGACCGTGAGTTGAATAACCCTGGTGTAGGGGGAGGGGGTCAGTCCTGTTGCTTCCCCACTCTTGTCACCTGTCTTTCCCATTTGGCACACAATGCTCGGGGGGGGGGGGGGGTAGTTTGTTTCACGCTCAAAGACAAGGCATTGACCTCCAGATGCCTGCATCCCACACAATGAACCCCCCCCAGACAGAAATGTGAATGGAAAGCTACACACAGCCGCCCCTATTCCACTACCCAACCCTGCACCCTCTTTTCCTCACCCCACTCATATGCGCTCTCTCTCTCTCTCTCCTTTTCTCCAGTCATGCACATTTCAAGAGCGACATAGGTCTGCTCAGCCCCTCCCACCCAAACCCCCCACACCTCCCCCCACATCCTGCCTGTATAAACACACAGAGTAAACATAGGGGGCCTCTTGCCTGACTTTTGCAGACCTGTCCATGGTTGACTGATGAGGTGAGAGAGAGCTCAGTTTGAAAGTCATCTTCCTTCCTTGTTTTCCATGATATTATTTTTTGATTAACACCACACCCAGTGCCTAACCCACCCCCGACTGAAACTACAAGTCCAGGTGCTCCTAGCTGTGCGGGAACTTCTAGGGGAGTCTGCCCTGGAAGATTCTGTGTAGAGATGGCATCGGCCGCCCGTCACCCCCCCCCACACCTGTCACTCACCTTCTTAAACTAGTTTGATGGTTGAGAGCTGAAGAAGCTGATGAAAGTGGAGCAGAGCTCCGGCAAGCCAGTGATATATTGGTTAATGAACCGACCGTGTACCAGTCAGCTTTGCAGTTGCATTTGAGTAAACTATCATGTCTGTATAGATCTATAAATGTGGAAAGTGAGAAAATGAACATTTCAGCTTAAAAGCATCTGTAAAAATAAACAAAAAACACCCACTGTGAAAGCTCAAACATGCTGGCTAAATTACATCTTTGCCTTCAAGGTCAAACGAGTCGATTCCACTTTTATACAAAATACTCTCTTATTTTGATATAGAGTTTACACCTGTCACAAAGAAGCACAACTGTCACAATAAAGTATCTTATTAATTAGATAAGCCAGACATCGGAAATGAACTTGCAAACTTTGTTTTTTTTACGAGTTCAGTTCCCAAAACACTTCACCCCCTGCTGGCCACATTGTTTTTTCATGTGACAGGACCATGGCATCAAAAAAAAATGGAACCTTGGAGAACTGACCAATGAGAAGCTGGACATTGGCAGTAAGAGAGCTGGATTGTGCAAGGAGAAGTCTGCTATAGCCTCATTTAGAAATATTAGAGTATAAATTTTTTTAAGTATTCATATCAATTTGGGCGTAACAGTCAATAATAAACATTATAAACAGCATTAATTACCAGGGAGGTGCTCCACAAAGCAGGATTTCTTGCTTAGCCGGATAACTTGATGGATTTAAAGTAGACTGGGCTAAACTGACTTTATCTTCATCCACATACATGTAGCTCAGACTACCTTAAATCCGACAAGCTATCCGGCTAAGCAAGAAATCCTGTTTCGTGGAACACCCCCCCCCCCCCCAAGACACTACCTTCTATTAGAAAATGACTCAGGAAGTCCAAGGGCTTTATTATATACATCTAAAGCTGGCACTTAACGAATAAATGTGCTAACGGCGACATGAAAAGTAGAACATTTGGTGCCCTATCTATCTAGATTGAAAGGGGAATGTGGGGAGAGACATTACGTGAAGCCCCTGCCAAGTCAAACACAACAGAGAGCGCGCTCCAAAACGTATGCATCACTCTCTGGAAAAAAAAAAAGGCCTGAACAAATAAATTTCCTTTCAACATTTCTATTTATAATTACTAATCAAAGTGAGTGGGCAAGCAATGGGGAAATCACTACGGTGGCGGCCTGCCACTAAAAATAAATCCACAAAACCAAAGGACTGGATTTTCAGGGGCAAAATATATGTTTACGTGCATTAATTTTAGTTCTACATGAAACCCGAAGGAAGACATGCAATTATCCTGCACTGATACTGTACGCTATAAACGCGCATTAGACCTTGGAGTTTTACTGGAACCAGACGTCTATTTACAGAAACAAACCAAACAGAAACTCCGCAACTCTTCTTCAAAGCAAACAGCTGCCCCATTCACAGAAAAATGTTGCGGAAGCAATTTTTAAAATTTTTTTTTTTTAAAAACAATGTGCTTTAACTCTAGTTGAAGTTTGCATCCCCGGATTGCAATGCAAACCTGACTGCGTTTGACTGCACACCAGGGTGATGCGCCGTTCCTCTCTACATCCTCCGTTTGGAAGACAGAGAGACCTAGACTGCATTGTGGGATGCCAGAGAATCCTGACTGTAACGGGTGACGGAATATGAATCTTGTGGAACCAGGGCTTCCAGAACAATGCCACCAACCCCCCCCATCGCCTCCCATTTTCTAACATGGAGCAGTTTGGCTACAGGCACCTTAATTTTCATCCTCTGCTGAGAGTAATAACGATAAAACAAATTAAAGACCTGTTGTATAACTAAATGTGAAAAAATCGGCACGCACTCAATAGGAAAACAGAAACAAAGAAAGTTCCAATAATAGAAACGAAAAAACTGAAGCATTTCAGTGCATGTAGGGGGATGCACCCAGGAATCAATGACCTTTTGGTTTGTATACTTTCCATTTACTCATAAGTAACAAGCAACAGGTGTTCAGATGCAACTGTTTTCAGAGAAAATAACATGGGGGGGGGGGGGGAAAAAAAAAAAATAAATCAGGCCCTATGGCAAAATAGAGGGACACAACCTGCATTAGTTTTGGGTTGTGTGACACCTTTTTTTTTTTTTTTTAAACATACTGTTCATTAGGAGAAGTAACCAGGGATGATAACTCCATAGAAAATGAATAACACACATATCTGCAGTATCACGTCATAACCTGAAGATGGCAGCGTTTTGCCATTTTGCGGAAAACATGCACTCATTATTAACTCATGTACGTGACGCTTCGATCCAAAGGGGCTTACAGTAGCGAGAATAAGTACGATTTGCATGTGCTCCCGCGGATTTGAGCCGATGACCTCTGGGCTATTAGCGTGATGTTCTACTTGTTGAGCTAAAGTAGCAAACAGAGACCAAGTTGAAGTAAGGAGACCGATTAAAGCATAAAAAAAAAGAATCGGGGACGTCACATATACAGGGGTGTGTATTCTGGGAAAGAACATCATGTAATAAAGTTATGACATAACTCAGATAAGCACAATGCAAACTGTGCCCCAGGAGAAACAGCGCTTCACCCTTGTGCACGCACTTACCTATTCAAAGACGCACAGTGCGGGCGAGATTGTGCTAGTTGACGCCTCTAGAGGATCCTTCTGGCATTGCAATGTCCAAAAAAGGAATAAGGCTCTGCCTCCTTCCGAGTAAACAGATGCCAGTAGCAATCAGAGCATTTTATGAATGGAACTTGTACCTTCCTGTTGTATAGCAGCCTTGACCTTACGTCCCCTGGCCATGCTGCCAAATTTGGAAGGATTTGTGGACATCAAAGTTCACGTGAGGCAGTTAAACAAGGACAAACCATAAAATACATGTTTTTTTTCCTCCCTCTTTTATCTCCATTATGCTTATTTAGATAATTAAGATCCTAAACCATTTTATCCACCCGCATTAGTAAGAGATTGGTTCTAAGCCACATATTTAAGCCATTTTAATTCTAAATTTAATGTAATCTTGTAGATAAAACATATACCATATGCAAGTTTAGTGTTTGTTCAAAAAAAAAAAAAACATGAGAATCAATAATTTGCTACTTTTAAATGCGTGCATTTAAATGTTCATATTGTATATATATTATCCGTGGAAAAATCACAAAACTAAACTAATATCTCGTTAAACGACGTACAACTTGGCTGAAGATCAAGTCTACCATCTACTGGGAGAACAGCAGCATTACACGTTGAATGTAACGACTAAACCATTAAGCTGCCTTTTTATAAAAAAAGGTACGTAGAGTGAGAATGTGTGTGTGGAGAAAAACAAGCAAAGCCTTCGTAAAACTTTTGGTTTATTCAATTTACATTTGCTATAATATTCGTCTAGCCGGATATTTTCCATATTTCAAATAAATCGGGTCAGGAACAACACAACAGCGTGAACATTAGGTCGGAGGCTTGAAAACTGAACGCCTTTTTCCGGTGTTCAGCTTCTTATTTACATAGATGCATTAAGCCTGTTCTGAAAAATGACAGGTGACATTAATATCGCTCTACCAGAAGCTCAGTTGCATTAATTGTCTAAATATGTCACTCAACAGATGGAAAGCTACTGTAACCAAAAAAAAAAAAAAAAAAAACATTTATGATTACATTACGGGGAATCCTCCTAGCCTTAACATCTGCGCCAAAGTACCGCACGAATGCGATGCAAACCGGCAGCCGAAGCACATACAGTACCGTGGCACACTGTCAGGAAAGGGTACCAACTTGTACCTTTGCTGGGGATGTACCCTCAAGGGTCTGGTAATTGCAGTTCATGGGAGTTTTGCTTACACAAAAATGTTACACAAAAAAAAATGATTGGTTATCTCGCTGAACCAATCAGATTGTACAGGAGGTGGGTCTAATCAACAAGAGGTGGGACCAAGACATCTGATTGGTTGGTCCTGCATGCTATACAGTCTGATGGGTTACCTCTCTGAACCAATCATTTTTTGTCCTACCCTAAGAACATTTTTGTGTAAGTAAAACTCCCACAAGACCAACTGTACCCTATAGCTGTAGGTAACTGTATCTTAAGGTACAGAAACGGACTCTGAGGAAGATCCCTAAGGTACAAACACCATTAATGTACCCCAATGGAACAATTACCTACTGCTATCGGGTACAGACCTTTGAGGGTACAGCCCCAGTGACTAGCAAGGGTACAAAGTGGTGCTCTCTTTTTCTGACAGTGCAGGAGCTAAGTTTCATCAAGCACTTTTACAAAAACAACACCTGGGATTTACAGTATGACAGACATCTCCCAGGACAACCCAAAACCATCAATTTAGGGGTACATAAACGGCTGAAAGAAGATGGCCCCTTAACAAATATGAGACTTTCCCCCCTCACTTTAGACCAAAGTAGACCAGTCCTTTTCTAACTAAACAAACACAAGCATTACACCTGATTCTGCCCTACGATCGTCTAAGTTAGTGCTTATCTTCAGGTTAAAACACCTACTGAGGGCTATCGTATAATACTATAAACTGAGACAGCATCCTGCCCCCAACCTGTAAATGGCAAGTTAAAATAGTTATTTTTAATGAAGTTAAAATCATAATTAAATAATGATGATAACTCAGGGCTAGATAGACATCTGCATCAACAAAAAAGGGCCACAACACCACGTGACACATGGTGACAATGTAACAGGAGAGAGTTAAGTGAATCCAATTCTGTTTGAAAGACGCTTCTCGTGGTTAGATTTTAGCAGTGGTTCTCAATCCTGTTCCCGTTTTCATTCCAAGCCTACCTTAGTCTGCCTTATATGGTCCTTAATAGGATAACAATGAATGTGGCAGGTTGAAAGCAGTGTGGGTTGGAATGAAAACATTCTGGCAGGGAGTGCGGCCAGGAACAGGACTGAGAACCACTGGGTTATAGCAGCTGAGAAACGCAGAAAAGCTCACCTTCGGAGAGATCAGCAAAAAAAATAAAATAATAATCACGCAGCGACTTTATAAATAGGGAAAAATTAAAATGCAGGGAGACTGCAATGGTTTTGCAAAAATATTACCACAAACAAGCAGGCAGAATTTGAACCAAACGCTAACACAGGTTAAAAAAAAAAAAAACAAACTAAAAAATAACAATAAAATAACACTATGCCCCCAACAATGTGAGGGAGGAGCACAGTCATCCTAAACACGCCCCGGAAATAAATCTGTAATTGGGATGATATCTTGCACAGCACCTCATGTGAGGATTCACCGATTAGCTTTATTGCACCCACTACTTTACACTTTACTATGGGTCTCCACCATGATTCAGATCTCTGGTGTGCAGTATGGATTGATGCATATGTGGTTGTGTGTGTGTGGCGTGGGGGGGGGGGGGTGCACACCATCAACCATAGGGGACGTGCTACTGGGTATGTCAGGGTTTAACAGAGCGGGACCTCAGGCTGACCAAGACTGACGCTCTTCACTGGTATACGGGGGTGAAGGTCTTCCAGTCCTCCGGAGCAGGGTCCTGGTCCGCCGGGTAGGGCTCAGTCGCTTTCAGGGCCGCCCCGGCTCCGTTTCCATTCTTCGCCTTCATACTGTCAAATTTAAATTTAGACAATTTATGGAATTGCAGCATCGGCCTCACGAGAAAACACCCGGCAAATCACCACCACGTCCGCAAGCGTTATTTAGGACAGTCTGTCAATTAATCATGTCCAATCAATTAAACATAAGAATTCGTTTATTTTGTAAATTTTCATATTTATCGTCCCATGACCTATGACCATAAATTCAGTAGACAGTCACTGTACAATTTTATCTAACGTAATTTCAGAAAAATGCTATTTTTCCCCATAGAAAAAAGGCACTTTTTTTTCCATCGTCACAATTCCGTTTAATGAATTCATTTTTCCGCTTGCTAATTCATCTAGCTGGATATCTTTACTGGAACAAGCCGTTTAAGGACCTTTTCTGTGAGTGACATCATCACCCTTTAAGTTACAAACCTATGCTGACACACCCGTCAGAGTTTTAAGAGGCACGTTATTGATCCCAGGGGAAATTCTGGAAATTTTCTATTTTCAATTTATATATTTTTTTTTATACAACGCAGTCACCCCAAGGCACTGTACCTGGGTGCGGAGGTAAACACCAGTTATACAGAATAACGCAAAACAGGGGAAAGGAAAGAAATAAAGAAGGAGAGAGAGAAAGAAAGATAAAGAAAAGAAAGTCAGAAGACAATGGAGTAGAGGAACCAAAAACTCTGGGGGTCCGAGGGCAACTGGCTGCTCAACCCCCCCCCCCCCGGGCATGATAACATTATAGAGTGGGCTTGCTTGCTAAAAGCAAGGTGACAGAAGTCAGTAAGTCAAGCAAATGTCCATCAATGGGTCAATTCTATATGCCGCCCTTTTGTCCCCACAAGATGGTTACTGACATGATTATGAATGAGGCGATTCGGTAATTTACGTAACACTGGGTACATTTCTGTTTGGTGAGAGGTAATGAGTAAAAAAAATACAATTAAATAATTAAATAATAACAATAACAATAATAATAATAATAATAATAATAATAATAATAATAATAATAATCACACATTGAGCTTGACAAGAGCCAAAGTGTGAATTTTCTGCGTGCAGTAAACTGGTAAGAATCCCAGTTTATTCCACCCCCTATTGTACTGGAGAACATCATAAACTGCTGACATTAGTCTGAGTGACAGGTGCAAAATGTTTATCAACCACTCGGCAGGAAAATTCAAGCACGTTTATACGCCAAAAGACGCTGGGGGGCAGCGTTTGGCTCAGTGGACGGTGGCCGGTTCGAGCCCGGCCTCGGCACATCTGCGGGGTCCTTGAGCAAGGCCCTTAACCCGCAACTCCCTGGGTGCCGCTATGGGTGGCTGCCCTTCGTGATCAGCTTGTTCTCACCTACAGAGAGCAAGTTGGGGGGGGGGAGGTGTAAAGAGAATTTCCCCACAGGGATCAATAAAGTACCTGTTATTAAAAATGGCAGCAAACACAGTCACAGCTGTTACAACCTGCGGTCCATGTCAGTCTACTTACCCCATTTCCCCCCCAATCTGTTAGGCCCAACCCTAAACCAGATCGTTAGTGCCTCGAGGCCCAGGGCCTGTGCGCAGGTACTTACTGATTTTTGTGTTTAGACCCGCTGATGTGAGCTTGATATTGCTCCACGGAGTTCAGTTCTATGTTGCACACTGTACAGGGGTAACCTTTCACCGTCGACGCTATAGGCAAGGGGCAAAAACATCATTAGCGTGCCAGCAACATAACGGGAAAGCTGCTTATGCAAGACCACGGAACATAAATATCACTGTCACGCTAGAACACGCAGCGCAATAGCCTCTGACCAGCAAAAACCGACCCGGCACTCTTCTACCTTTCAGTCACTGCGCAAAAAATAACGACTGGACAAACATTACAGAAACCGCACAATCTGTATACATACATTTGCACGTTTTTAAATTAGCACTCGCTTTTATCCAAAGTTGGCGGTTAGCGATGTTCAGCCTGGGTTATTCCGTGCCTTGTACCTGTAGGTTCCGTGGCAGACTCCTGATCCTTGTGACCCTGAACAGAACAACTGCCTATGATGGATTTTATCCAAAGTGAGACATTTTTCAGAAAGCAGGGTTAAACCATCCCTGGAGTAATTGGAGGTTAAGGGCCGAACTCTGCTGACCCTGGGATTCGAACCAACTACCTACCAGGCAGTGTCCCAAACCAGAGCCACACATCACCCCCACCTTGTTAAACTATTACTGAAGACACCAACTTTCAGCACACATTTAACGACCCCGGCCCCTCACCGGGGGCTGCGCTAGGCCCGTAAGCCTCCAGAAGCTTTATCTTTGTCAGCTGCTTCTTGTGTTTCTTCCCCACGTAGTGCTGCTTGGCCATCAGGGGGTTGTTGAAGGAGGCGTGGCAAATGGCGCAGAATCGGTCGGGGTCTCCCTCGGCCGGACTCAGGGGCGCTACGCCCTGCCCCTCCGCCTTCCTCTTAGCCTGGGTTTTCCCAGGGGGCAAGGCTGAAGCGGAGAGGGTGAGGTCAGGGAGAATGAAAGCTGTCGGGGAAGTTCTGGATTTCATGGCTTTTTATGTTAATAACGGCTTCACCTATACTTCACGCTGCTTTAATGCAGGGCAGTTGTAATCCAGCTGTTACAGTACAAATTCATGGTGCAAGAATCACTCTGCTGTTTTTTTTTGTTTTTTTTTTTAAATCAGTAACCACCCCTCCTCACAAAAACACACACCTTACCTGGAGACTGGAATCCATGCATCTTCAGCTTCAGATTCTTGGCGTGCACCTTGCCTTGGTAATGCGACTCGGCCACGACTGGAGCCGGGAACGTCATGTTGCAGACAGAACAAGCTTTGTTACGATCTACCTCACCGTTGTTACTGGCCTATGAAAATGGAGGGGAATACACATAAAAGTAAATATGCAATCGTGTTTAATCGGTACACGCACATGTATTTCGTTAAAAGTAAATAATCACAATCAATTCGTAATTTAAAAAATTAATATATTGAAAAAGTCAAAGAATCGTGTGTCTTTTGTATTCGATCCTGTCGATTTAAAGTCACGATTTTAGCTTCAGACACGTTGCGAATGATTTACACTGACATTGTCATCTGAGGAAGACTTGAATCTCTTCACTGAAGGCTCTTCGTTCTTGTGAATGCTCATATATCTCCGTACTTTATTCGCGTGTTTCTTGCTCTGAAACGGTTAATAGCCATCCACATGAACATTTCAAGTATTTCTGTTCGCTAATGATTCAAATTATCAAGCAATACATTCATACTGGTCAAACACTTAAAATCGCAGTATACAGCCGATATGCTACAAGAACTAACTTATTTCCCCTTTTAATATAAAAATAGATCCCACTTAGCGCCCCTTGATGAATGTGGTAGACATTGTTATTGCCTGAAGGAGAATTACACTATAATTAACAGCAACGACTGACCTGATAATGGGCCAGTTTTTGCGACTCCGAAATTAGGACAGCATTACACACTTTGCACTGAGAGTCAGAGAACAGGTGGCCGTTTTCCTTAATCATCTTGTTCACTGGAAAAGAGACACCGTTAACCCTCAATGATGACAAATGAGTGACATGGACGAGTAAATGTTAACACAATGTTTATCATCTTAATTTAAATTTCATGCGCAATTATCATGCACAATTATATAACGTGCGTATCCATCAGTCCTGTGTCACGAACGCTATGTGGACATCAGCGCTTAAAACACGTTTAATTCATATCTATCTGAACAAATTCTGCTGGTCGTAACGACTACGGACACGTTAAGTCTAACTTCAATTTCGGGACGATGCAACAGGAACGTCCTGGTTTATCGCAAGAGGCTATACTACTTCGCATAACTTAAGGGGGATCAGGTTGCCTTAACTTTCCTCTGCCAAATACATAAATTAATAAATGGACAGCAGAGAATAGGGACAGTGCATCCCATCCGCGATCGCACCCATTTGCCAGCGACAGACACTTCTGCAACTTTGTCAATGCAGCCGGTGGCGCCCAGCGTCTTCGACCTTGGATGGTCTAAGCGGCGTGCTGCAGCGTCCAGCTGTTGGTCCGACTTAAGCAGGCTACCTGTCTGACCACCGAGCGTCCCCGACACCGGGGTTTAAAAACAAACCAAAAAAAAAAAACCCAAAACGAAAAATCCCCGTGCCGATGCGCACCGGCACGCGGCTGCAAAATGTACCGGCATCGGAGCGCAGCGTGTTCGGCTCTCCGCTTCCCCCCGCACATCGACGCCCGACCGGGCTTACCCTCCGCCGCCCCCGACGGTAAATACAGACACTCTCCATTCAGGCCTCCGTCCGCCATACTTCCAAGCAGGACAAAATGGGCAGCAGCCAGGCGCAGACGCGAGACTTACGTAGGCTGAGAGAGGTAGGAAAAAGGCTCGCCTCACCAGCGCCGCGTCTGGCCAGATTTAATTTCAGATGCGGTGCGATCGGTTCGTGAGCTGGCGATGCACGCACCAGTGGGCACTGTACGACTAGCATAAAATGACAGCGCAGCAGTGTTACTGGAGTCGGCACGGTTTTAGTCTGTAGGCGGTAGGGAAAATGTTGCATGTGATTCCCTTTTCTACTGAAAGAAAAACTTTGTCTTGCAACGAAATCACTCTTATTTGCTCGATGTTAAATTGGGGGGGGGGGCGGTTGTGCAAAGGAAACGTAGGATGCATGTGACAGCTTCATCAGTATTACGCTGATGTACAGAAGAATCGATATGGTGTTTTCCCGGCGGCCTTTGCGCATCACGTGACCAGGGCAAACATGGCCGCTTCCGGTCCCCCGGAAACGCGACTGGCTTCCGAGCTCCTAAGCGCAGCCTGGATGGGCGTAGCGCGGCGACAGCCCGGTAACTGTCAGGTAAACTGGGGGTTATCTTTGAGTCGTTGACGGTTTTAATCAAAATTGCCTCAGACACGTAACGCAATAAATGTAGTTCGATCTTTTCCCTCTCGGGCGTTGGGTGCACTGTGGCCAGTATATGCGAAAAGTTTTTGTTGTTTGTTTTTGTATTTAGTGACGAGTTAAATGACAGTTTAGTAGTGCAGCGACTTCATGTAGCTAGACAGGATAAGTAACATGCCGCGGAAGAAGCGATGTCGTCCGAGGGACAGCGGGGATGATGCTGGTTCAGTGTCCCGCAAGCGGAGACACACGGAAAGTCAAGGAGAAATTGTGTCAGTTCCTGACAGCGAGCATGAGGTAGGGCTTCTAACGGCTGGGGCCCTTTTTTCTGTCTCTGATTCGAGGAGAATGCATTTAGCTCAGTGTCTGGTGTCGCCCACACCGAGTTACCGCATTGACATCGGTGTACTTTTACTTGCTTTGTCACAGGAAGAAGTGTTCAAGCCATCGGCGAGGGAAACCCGCTTACGGGGGAGAGAATGCAAATCCCAGACAAAAGGTGCACAAGATCCGGCAAGGTTTTACACCTTATCAGTAAACCTCAAGTACACTGTTGGGGCGGAGTGACAAAAGAGGCTTGTGAGCACAATGTACCCAGTGTAGCCCAAGGGGAATCTGAGGGCGTTTCTGTTCTACCGTGTTCTTTCTTAAAAAAAAAAAAAAAAAAAAACGCGATATGTTATGGCCCAACTGAAAAGTCTACTTATGCAGGATTGACGGAGGATGAGATGCTTAACTTGGCGTTGAAACTCAGTGCGGAGGAGGCTACTACAGCTGAGCTGAGGCAGAAACGGGAAGAGGAAAAGGAAGAGAAAGCCATAAAGAGAGCCATTGAAAAGAGTCTCCATGTAAGCCTGGCCCATTCTTCTGGTGGCATGCTAGACCTACGCTGTTCTCTTGCCTTATCAAGATTATGTTCAGATTGGGACTTTATTTTCCAGTCTTTTTCCCTCTCTTCCAAATCATGGACCTAGAGGTTCCCTATTTTTTTATTTTTATTTTGCAGGCAAATGAGACTCAGATCATCAGTAATAATTCTGAATCGCTATTCCTGATGAGTCAGGATTCCCCCCCAGTACCTGCGAGTCCCGTCTTCCCTGCTAGAGATAAACCCTCGCTTCAGAGCAGCAAGATTGGCCCGGATGATTCTGACTGTAATGATGCTGTTATTGATATGGATGAGGAAAAGCAGTGTCCCCAGCCCCAGACACTGGATGTGTGTCAGTCTAAATCAGATGGTTCCTCAAAGTATTTACCAGCCTTGGAGAAGGTAAGTGCTAATGTTGGTACTGTGATATCGCTTTGTGGGACCTTTAAATCCCTATATATCTACTTGATTTGACAACATATATCCTGTTATAAAAAAAAAAAAAAATACATGCCTGCTAACAGTATTAATTTTGATAACAGCATTCATTTTCACATACTTTGACATCTTAAATTTAAAGCATCCAGGTTAAGCCTCCATCTGTGATGGAGATTTGCGGCGTGTGGCTCAGCAGGTTAGGCGGCTGTGCCTGTCATCAGAAGGTTGCTGGTTCAAATCCCAGGCTTTGCTAAATAAATGAAGCTGCAAACTGTTTTTTTTTTTCTAGGGCAAATACAGTGAGGCAGAGTCCAATAGCCAAGAATTTCAGGGCCCTTCCAGATGTCAGTGGCAGAGGGGAAAAAGTTCTGGTGACATAGGGAAGGGAAGTCCCTGTCACGGCCCTGTCCTTTGTATCGAAAGGTTGAGTCAGGAGCTGGTGGATGACTGCCAGGCCTCAGGGTTCGTGTTGTGTTCCCAGGAACTTCCTGTCCACCTGACACCATCGGGGAGGTCGGAGTCCTCGCTGCCGGTGAGTCCCACACTCCCTGAAAGTCCCGTGTTTGCCAGGGTGGACTTGGGAGGCATGGAGAAGGCTGTTCCTGGGAGAGGCACCTGGAGCGCCACAAAACAAGCCACCGCCACAGATGCGACGCAGTCTGGGGATCGGGGAAATCCCCAAGACTTTCCTGAGAGTCAAGGCCTGGATCTAGACAGCAGTGACTCCTCCCAGTCCCTCCTGTCCCCCAGGAGGACGTTGGCAAAAAGTCGGAAGCATGTCCCCAAAAAACGTGCCACCAGAGGAAGGAGTTTCCGCGGTCAGGCGTCACAGGTATGATGACGCTGGTCCCGTTTAACAGCCTAACGGGGCTCCAAATGGCGACTAAAACGGTCGCCAATGTGACTCGATTTTTAATCTTGCGACTAATTTTTTCATTCCGATCGCCAATGGCAACTGCCTCTCAAAATCCAAGAAAAAATAGGCTTTTAATTATGTGCAGCCTTAACCCGTGTTTGCCATTCCCACTACACCATCACGTGATTAAAAGTGTGGATCGATCCAGAGCAGTGTTGACCGATTGGGCTATTTTTGGTTGCATTTGAATTGCATGTAAAAAAAAATTCGTTAGTGGGCGGGTTTTGCCAAACCGTTGCATTTGAAACTCTTCACGTTATTTGGCAACCTGTCGCGGAGAGTGTGGAGCTCTGGAAAGGGCATGGAGGGGAAAAAAACTGATGGTTGGAAAAGAAATGGACTCTCACAAAGGTGGGATGGTCTTTTGGCGAGATGCCCCAATACTTTTCCTTTACATTAATAACTGCACTGTGTCAATTTAAAGTACAAAACATAGAATTTATTTATAGACTAATAAGTATAAACTTAAACGATACAAACACATCCTGTAAAGTGAGCTTTAAGCATTAAACTGTGGGGAACGATTCACACCATGTAACTTGCATATTTATCAACAATTCCACTGTGTCCATTCACTGCCAGTGACTTTAAGCAAGACAGCTGGACTGGAAAACTGCATATAAAGCTAACTTTACCACGGTGTTGGAGTTTAACCCGCTTTCTGGAATATTTCAGTATAGATCCGCATATCTTCACATACCAGAATACCAGGGAGGTATACCCGGAAGTGGTTTCGGGTTTAAACCCTAACTATTACACCGAGGTAAAGTTAGCTGTATATCCAGTTTTCCAGCGGTAATATCATTCGACAAAAGCAGGCAACGCCCCTTGGTTTTCCAGACTTCCTTACAGGCAAATTAACATTTCAATGTTTGTGTGTGCACTTCACGTTCAATAGCCTAGCTGTCTTGCTTACATATTGCACATTACATATTTGTGTTATTTATTATTATGTATAAGAATGCAGAAGGTAACAGTACACAGATCAGATAGCTCAGAAAGAAAAGGTAGACCAGAGGCAAAATGTGTCATGCAAGTATTTTTAATTTATTTCACACCATTCACATGCACACCTAAGGGCAATTTAGTAACTCTAATTAGAGATTAGCATGTCTTTGGACTGTGGGAGGAAACTGGAATACCCAGAGGAAACCCCACGACAACATGGGGAGAACATGCAAACTCCACACACGTGACCCAGGCCGAGACTCGAACCCAGGTCCCAGTAGTAATATTAGTAATTAGTGTAATAATAGTAATAAATTAGTGACAGTAATACAGATAGCTCTGAATTTGTATTATTACAAAGAAAGTTAACAGCCCCCATGCGGAGGGTGGTGCGTCGGAAGGAGGGGCTAATAACATCATCTAGGAATGATCCCCAGTAGCGTTTTTCAGCACATCGTGGTGGAAAAGAGCCATTGGCTAAATGTGCTCTAGAAGAGCGCCCCCTGGAGGGGATTAATGGGAGTAGATTGTAGAGCAGGACATTTTTTTTTAAATTTGTCTTTCTTCAACAGGGCAATGTGAGTCAATCGCAGAGTGAAGAGGAGCCCTGCAAGAAAGGTATGGAACCAATCAGAGAGTGGACAGCTTCCAGCAGACCGAAGCATAACTGCAGTTTGTAATATAGGATGATCTCAGTTCAGTTCAATTCATTTTTATATATCGCCTTTCACAACAGTCGCTTTACATGGGGTCGTTTAGTTTCTACAGAAACAGGGGAATAGGGAGGACAAAGGAATGAAAAGAAAGAAAGACAGATGTCAATGAAGGAGAGGATCCAAAAACTCCCAAGTAGGGAGAGAAAAAAAAGTCTGGGGGTCCAAGATCGACAGGCAGCCCCCCGGGCATGATAACATTATAGGAACAATAAAAGAGTGGGCTGGCTTGCTAAGGGCAGGGTGTGAGTACACAGCACAGAAACAGAATATCCTGAAAACGGAAAACTGCGGTATTATAGAAATAAAATTAATTAGGATACAAAAACAAATGTGTGCCCGGCTCTAGTCGGTACGTCTGACTTTTACCCCCTACCCCCAACCTCACCCACACAGAGGGTAGCGCTATCTGTTCTGCAGGGGGGTTTTTTCTCACAACATCAAGTGGAACAGATGACCCCACCAACCAGACGGGACGGGCCTGGTCTGAGGAAGAGGAGGACGAAGATCCCAGGAAGGTATGAGGGTCGTTACCAGTGTGCTGAGGAAAAGCAGCTATACCGAGGCATGCGTATGATTCCGGAATCTCCATTATTCTTAACGGGTGACCTGGTCAAAGGTCACAGGAAGTCCTCAGGCTTGTCGGGTGCATCAGAATGATTCCCATTGACTTAAACTGTCACACATCTGCTTGTTTCTCAGCATGGTCAGTCTGTTGTAATACAAGCTCTCCGCATATCACCCAAAGCGTGTGAAATTACTCCCCTTTAAAGTGTGGCTGCGTCAGCCTCAGCCCACTCTGTTCCTCGTCCCTTTAACGCCTGCCCCGAATCCACTGCGCCGTCTCTTCTGTCTTTTGCGGCTAAAGTTCTGAGTCACCGGGATTTATCGTTAAGCATGTAG